CGTGATGGTCAACAAGCCGCCACTGGCGAACTTCGAAGACCTGCAGTGCTCTTCAGATTTCAAGTCGGTGCGGCCATCCCCTGCTGCTCTCACAACTGCCTTTGATTCTGGAAGACGAGACGACACGGCTTGGGGAGCTCTGGACGACCGAGCTGCCGGCATCCTCAACAATGCGAGGCAGCTGGGAGTACTCCGCCCGATCTGTGCTGGGATCTGCCGAAAAGAGGACTACAGCACCGTAGTCAAAGCCTCAGTTCATTTCTAGCTGGTGCATTTTCGTCACATTATAGTTCAAGAGGAGCTGAGCCGGACGTGTTCATAGATGTCGCTCATCGGCTCCAATATTTGCGGAACAGACAAAACAACAGCTTCTGATGGCACCAGGCATCTGGTCGGACATGGCTGTGTCTCGCAGTAACACCGGTCCCGCACGAAGTGTAAGGCCATTCTCCACACCTTCCGCTCTTCCTCGGCACGGGAATCTCACATGCGTCCATCAGCATTGAGGTGTGGATTGTCGTACAACCGAAGCAGCTGGAGGTTAAACAAAGACTGGTGATCTCTGCTGCTTACGTGATTGCAGCTGACATGCCTCGGCAAGCTTGCTTGCCAACTGTTGTGTCGTCATTCTTGAAAATCGTGATGGTATGGAGGCAATGTACGGCTGAAAATGACATTCGGTGACCCCAGACTCTAGTTAGCGCCTCAGCCCTCATCTCGACAAATCCTACCGACTCCGGCCACGGAGCCTCGAGGGTGGGCCAGAAATATCGTCGAGCGAACAGCCTCTCCAGCTCAAGCACGCACTGGATGTGGCCGTCAACGCCTTAACTGGGCACAGGGCACTCACTACCTCATCACACTCCGGCTCGTCTACTACCTGTTCCATTCTCTGAAAACTGTATGCTCTCGTGCATGGACAAAACCGAAAACTTGCTTGACCTGACTGAGAAAAGCGACCGAACAACCTCTCCAAACATATCAGATTAATCATCCTTGAACATTTCCACGAACGGTCTTTGGAGACAGGTCGCTGACAGCTACGCTTGAATCATGTGCGGGGTAGATGACGAGGGCGGTGCCGGTTCTGGGCCTCGTACAGAACAAACGAAATTTTGCCGTGGCTTTAAAGGAAGCTCCAATTGAGAAACTATGCTGCCTGAGCCAAACCGACCTGGACACTTCAGCTCGTGGTACCCTGCATGAAGCATGCCAGGGCGTGCAAAAACACAGCCCACACAGTTTGAATGCTTCGTTCTGCATACTGAGGAGCAACTCTGACTCCTCTGCCGCGCCGAAGCCCGTCTGAGCTGCGCAAGACTCTCTCAGACTCTGTCTGTGACTTCGCACGCATAACGAGGAAGTCGTCGAATCCGAACCCCAAAACCTTCGAAGGCCTCCACTCTAGACTCTTAAGCAAAACTGAATTGAATGCACAATCCCAGACACTGTGTCAGGTCCCGTGTATTTGCTGGCCGTTAGCAAAGCTTCCGAAGACCATGCTCCTGCTGACCGCGACTCTCGTTTCCTGCCTTGCGCTTCACTTCTCCCGTGCCCACGCCCTTCAGGTCTTGAATGAAGCTTCCAAAGCTTACAATACAAGCCTGACGAAAACCTCCACCCAGCTGCCGGCACTGCCAGTGGTGAGTGCGGCCGCCAGGGGCTGCTGCCTGCCTGGCCGGCAGATTTCGAAACCGGAGCTTTGCCCGACTCGCTCGCATTCGGAAATGCTCAGCGGCGGCCTTCAGGGCCCGGCGCTTTGCTCCGATGATCTGAGCCTCTACAACACGACACCCAGCGGACTCAGCGGATGGTAGCGGCGGTATGGCGATGGCAAGGCTTGAAGGCTCGAGACAAGCCGAACTCTGGCTCCCAGGATGCTGGAACTCCCACCAAAGCAAGATCCACAAATCTGTGGAAGGAGGATTTGCCGGGGTGCCTGCCATGCTGCAGACACCGCACTGGAGTTGCCGAAAACCGGCTTCTGCAGGGCGGAAGGAGATAAAAAGGAGCATCACCGACAGACTGGCAGCACATCAGATCCCCAGAGAATGCCACAGCTGCCAGCTGGCATGAGCTCACGCCGTCTGCCTGAACATGCCGGCAGTTCTATGGCCCATGCTCTCACAAGCAGTACCTACAGTACACAGGCTCATCGAGTTTCTCCCGGTGTTGCTGTTTTCCACCCGTCATCCATTCCTGCCTGCAAACGTTCAAGCGCCAGATGTGGTATCAGTGGATATGCTCGGTCGCACTGCACAAGCACCAGATACCTCGAAGCACACTTTCAGAGACTGAAGGGGGGGGGCGCCTCGCTGACAGATTCCAACAGGTTTCCCTGCACGCTTTGTCCCTGCCACCGAGCTGAGTTCTTGCGGATGCTGGTGCAGCCATTCTCGTGGCCAGCAGTGCTATCATGTCTCGTGGGCCTAGCACATCCCCGTGCACCCTGATGGTCTACAACAGTTCGGTCCGAGCCACAGAAAGGTAAAGCAGCTGCTTCGGCAGCCCAAGCTCATGGCTCCGACATCTGAGGTTGATCCGTGTCAAAGTTTACAGCTTCAAAGCTCAGGGCTGAACGCATCAGCCGACAAACCTCCAACCTGGCTCTGATCTGCCTCTCTCAGGCATTGAAGGGATTTGAGGGTATCTGAGGGCGCTGGGAACCCTGAACCATCGCAACCATAGTTAGAATGGGATCCTGGATTTTCCTGGATATCAAAGAAGTCGAGCTGCGGAAGGCTCAAGACTTTGGCTGCTTTCACATCTTGCACGTCATGACCCAGTTCAGCAACCCCCAGCTCGAAGTTTTCGGGATGTTCGTGCAAAAGGCTACGGCCTGCTGCTTGCCGCAGCCTCTGTCGCATGCTTTGCTGCGTTTACTGCCGGGTTTCATGAAAGTAATGGGATGACCTCATGCATTCACCGAAGCACGGCAGCAAAAGCACCCTCACGGGCGGCCAGCATCGGAGGCAGCTCCTGAGTACAGTCGTGGTCTGTTAAGGAAATCCACTCCTAAAGAATGACCACTTACAGCTGCAGACAGGTTCTTCTCTTGGGCGGCCGCTCTCCAGCATTGTTGCTCTTGCACCCACATTTCCGTAAAGTTGGAGGCCTGCCGGGATCATACAGCCAGTGGACCGAACACTTCGGCTCGCCCCAGAAGCAAGATCCGGTTCTGATCATCAAAGGCGATACTACACCTGTAATTAGAGGTGCACAACAAGAGCCGAAGACGAGGGACCGTGACAGGTGCAGCCGGCGCCTCTTTCTTGTGGCTCCCGCCCATGACGAAGATATTGCCCTGGCCGCGAACCCGTCCCTTCTCACTCAAGAGTTCCGAAACACCATGATTCGATCATAATGCTTGTTTTTATTTTCACGCATCAATGGTTACGCTATGAAATGCTAGCACCACTGCCTTCGTGGAAAGGAATGCGGCCTGCCTCGCAAGACGTGATGACTGCTGGCGACAAGCGAGGTATCCTGCAGCGAAAAAGCAGGAACACATGGACTTGCCAGTTCTGCCTTGGTCCCACACTAACGATAAATAAGATCATGCTGATTCATGCTGTTATATGACGTCTTCTACTCCGGCTGCAGCACCAACAGGGTAAGGTACATTTATGGAGTCAGCCCCTACTAAGTCACCTCCATCGCAAGGCCGTCCACTTGCTTAAGCTACTGTCGTCAGAACTCTTCAGATTTTGACTGTCGAAGGAACCGTGTGAGTCAGTGAGTCAGAATCTGATGAGTTCTGACGATGGTATCTCAAGCAAATGGGATGGAGCTGACTCCAGTTCGGACTGCTGTGAACGCGCCCATGGCAGCAGTGTGTAGCATAGCCAACATGATCTTGACAGAGTGTCCTCCAGCTCGGAATCTGCAGCCACTGAGTCGCTCCGTGGCGCTGCAAGGTCAAGCCTCAAGCCATGCGACCAGAATGGATTCCGGGATAAACTTTTTCTCTTGCTGCATGGCTATGGCGGAACATCCAATGGCTTCGCCTTGTCTTACTTGCGGGTGAAGCCTGAGCACGCCGCACTCTGTGCAGGCCGTGGGGCAGGATTGCCCTCCGAGCACACCGCCGATAGACACCTGCCAAACATGCCAGTGTCGCAGCTCGCGCTGTCTTTCAAAAATCTGAACAACCTCTGCTGCCTACTGCCTGCTGGGCAGGTCCACTGCCGTATTCATACAGAGTGGCGACATTGAGGGCCGAACTAGACCTTGAATGCTCCATACCTTCAAACGGCCCCATGTCCGGGCCCGCATGCTACGAAGACAAACAGCTTCCATCATCTTCTGAGCATTTCAGCATTGTGAGGCGAGACGACTTTTGAGGAGCAGGCCAAGGTTGCTCCCAAACGGACAGGCACCTCCAAAGCAGGATTTCTTAACTCCCAGACGAAAGGAACAACTCCGGCTGAAGGAGACGTAGAACCGAAGGACTGATACCTGAATGCTACTTGCGATCACGTGTTTTCGGTACTCGGCGGCCTGTGGCAGGACCGGCTCAATGGTCCAGCAGCCGGCCTTAGCACAGTCAGTTCGAGTGTCAATACAGCCAACAGTTCCAGCAGCTTCAAACAACCCTTGTGATTGAAAGATGCCTCCACCTTTGCCAGAAACACCTGAGATGCCGAGAGCTTGCGGGCCTCCGCGTCAAAACGCTCAGCCGTCCATGCCATCTCGGAGCCAGTGCTGCCTGCAATGGGCTTGGGACTTTCCGCACCCAACCAAATAAACGAAGCCTGCATGCTGCTTCTGTCCTGAAAAGTATTGCGGACCATCTTGCGTCACAGTAATGATCACGTCTTGGACAACAGAGCTAAGATGCTGGCTAAATTTAGACGTGGGCTGCTTTGCAGTCTTCGCACGATATAGCCAGCAGAGAGAGAACGTGTGTGCAACCCGCGTTCTGGCTAAATGAAGCGCTCCGGATTGCAGGGATTCAGGCGGCCTTGCCGATTATGCACAAGAGCCTAGAGGACGGCTCACTACAGCTCCTCCATGCCCTCTTCGACACCAGAGTTTGCCCGCTGCATTTCCTGACAAGCTAACACTTAATTTTTGTCAATCGTCTCGAGCAGCGCCTGCCTCGAACAAAAGCACAGAAGTGATGCACCGAACACACCTTGCGAAATAATCTACGAAACAACGAGGAAGGCTTGTCAAGCGGAAAGCAAGCAGGAACCGCAGGAATGAAGGGGCAGACAGGCTGGCCCAGGCAAACACATGCGTGCACACACAAACAGGGGGGATTTGTGCACAAAAACACAGACCTGCAACAGAGAGACAGAAGATAGATTTGACAGGCCGGCAGGCAAGTAGACCATCAGGTAAACAGACAGAAAGGCAAACATCCAATAATGTCCATCCGCACTTGCGCGCACGTCGCTGTATTTGTTGCATGCACCCGAAGCGCACATCTGCACCGTCCTCTGATCTCGAAGTTAGCAGACCTCCCCGCTTTGCCTGAGAGGCCGCAGCTCAGAAGGTCAAGGTGGCAAGGCAGCACAAGTCTGCAATACAGACCTCCAATGCTGGCTATTAGACATTGCAATTGCAATAAACGGATTTCCCGAATGTGCGTTTCTCGTCGGCAATGGCGACAGAGGCCGGCCTGCCGCTTGCGTGCACACGCATAGCAGATCGCCCCCGCAGTCGAGACTGTGAAGCCGGCGACCTGGCGTGGTTGCGGGTGTGCCGAATCACATCAGCATACAGTACATCCTTCTGTTACTGCCGATCGGAGTTTGCACACTCAGGAGCGTCTGTGCAGCTGTGGCCTGCCCAGTGCTCATCCTCTCCCCCATGAGTGTGAAGAAAACGACGATCACTACGTTGTGCATGACCCCCAGCACAGACCTTGTTCACGCCGGCATCCCCTTGACAAATTGTCAACTACGAGTAGCGACCTCCGAGGCGCCCACACTGTGAGTGGAGACGTCAGCTCGGTCAGAAGCAGCTCAAACACCAAAATGCCCGTGGCGCAGATCCCGACCACCACAGCGGAATCCACGGAGGGAAGCGCGAAATTGCTTTCGAAGAAAGGTAAGAAGAGCAGACTCATCAAACCTGAACAAACTTGCCTCACCGCATGTGCAGCAGCAACAGCTCGGAATGTACAGGTAAACATGGAGCAATATGGAAGCCCTTGACAATCGCTCCCTGTTAAGCTAGATCCACAAGAAGCTGTGGGCCTGTGACCGGGTTGACCACAAAGGCTATCTGGTCCTTCGAGGGAGGGAGAGAGCCTGGGTCCACACCCGCTGCATTCGGATCGCCGGAATTGAACCTGGTCATCAACGTTCGCACTTCCCACTTCCCACGGAGACATGTGGATCTCTGGATCTACGGCGACAGCGGACAACAAGAGGAAGATAAAGCGCCGTCGATCCAGATTCACGACGTTGCAACGACAGTGGTGCCAACTTCACCATGCTTCACAGACAATTTCTTGTGGCAATGGCGTGAGGCTTTGCCATTTAATCTTTCTTGACCATTGCCGATGGGAGGCAGCATCTTCGCAACCGCAAACTTGAGGGCGTAGGCCACACTAGAGGCGACCTCGAAGCAGCAACTTGTCGAAATGTTAAATCCTTCCCTAGATCTCCTGTCCGTTTTAGCTGTTGGTGCCACAGCTTCTACCTCTCCCCATGTCCGTCCTCCAGCTCTCACTCGAGCTCGTGCCTGCAGGAAGACGCCCAGAAGGTCGCCATGCCAGGAGCCACCTGACGACTACACCGTCAGTACCAAGTGCACTCGTGGCAGTTTCTGGTAGCTTCCTCCTGTGATCCTTTGCTTCTTATATAGGACACATGGGAGGCCTGAACCATCGCCGATGGCTCCTGTAACGATGGAGCCCGCAGCAATGAGGACGAGCGCCAGGGTCAACAACAGATTGTTCCCGCAGCCGCACCTGCGGCGCAGAGCCGTCTGCTTGCGGGCTCTGGGCTGCCCCCGCTCCGCTGAGGCTCTTTCGTTTGGATGGGACAGCTCTGAGGGCTTGTGAACTTGAGAGAAAAGCGGACGAAAGTTAGGGAGTCAAGCGGCAAGTGTGTAATTATTGCGAATGCGAGAAGTTGAGCAGATGCTGGTGAGCGAATGTGACCGATGCAGTGCTCCTTGTTTTCTGTGTTCCGAGCTGGTTCATAAAACCCAAGCCGCTTAAGCCTGCGCAGGCCGACGCAAAGCAAAGCTCGCTTCGCAACGGAAGAAACAACAACAACTCTGAAATGATCTGAAATGTTTGTTTACCCTCCTACAAACTAGGTCGATGCTTGTGCGGTTAGGGAGGCCGAATGATGCGGCCTCAAGCACGGCCCGTCCTGCTGCCACTTAGATCGATGTTGTATCAGGAGCTAGCCCCCTGAACCCAAACCAAATCTGTAAACAACTCCCGCAAGCTCCTAAAGGAGCTAGCTGTGACCTTGGGCACTGGCCAGCGAGTCAGCTTAAATGGCCGAATCAAGGCAAAGGTCACTTTGACGAGTTAGGAGTTGGCACGATGCAGCACAATGTACCAAAATGAGGTGCAAATTCTCGCAAGCGGAGTCGGGAACACCTACAGATCTTTTTCCTATCAGGTTACGTAACTTTGAGGCTGTGATACGGAAATTGCCGGTCTTGGTCCTCCGCAATACTCCCCTTTCAAGCGGGTGACCCCAAGAGGCAGCTCCGCCCGAGCTCGTCCACTCCGCACAGGGCCGCCATAAGAAAGGCCAGTGGAACATTGAAGCCGTGCAGGGCGGTTTTCAGCGAACCTTGCGCAATTACACTAGAGTATTCAGCTCAAGCAAGGTCTGATGTATATTTGTGACGCACAACCACACACAATTCGGCGTCACAGAATGGGACACAGCAAGTTGGTCTGGAAATGCCTCCGATCTTGTAAAGGGAGGAGTTTGTCAAATTCCGCTCCAGACCGGCGAGGACCGCGATTGCCATCACTTTGCCTGTCTTCAGAGGGTTGGGAGGAAGCAGGCATGGCAATAGACCGTCACGAATGCGCGTCTGTCTCTCTATCTTTTCTGTCTCTGACTGCCAGTTCTGAGGGCCACTCGCAGTCGCATGTTTCCATGAGCTGCACGTCTCCAGGCCAGCGTCACGTCTTAAACTGTGTATCCTTCGGGCTACCGTCAGTGGATAAAATTCGAATTACACGTGCTGGGCCAGTGCCTGGCCCCGTTCGAAGGGATGCTGGTGCAAGCTGTATGGAAATGTATGTCCATGCCGCCATGCTGCTGAAATGGACCCGCAGATTCCGCAATCCTTTCCAGCAAGCAAGCGGTGCCACCAATGGCCAACCAATGGCCAAGTTGGCGACACATGTCCTTCGCTGTGGGCTGTCTGAACGTCTGGCAGCTACACGGCTACATGCGGCTCCATGTGTGGCTCCGGGATTGTGAAGGCAGTGGTTATGTTGTGCTCCGCGCACAATCTTGCACGACCAGGTTTCAACATGGACTTGTGCTTCTCCCGCTTGACAGCAACAACCTTGTCGGACACGGGTCATACAAAAATGCATGTTCCGATTTCGATTATATGTGATGCCACCACATCGTGTTGTCCCGCAGCCCAGCAGCCACAGCAACTGCGCAGAAATACCACCCGATCGTCATAATCCACCACCTAAGTGTGCGAAGTGGCATGTTCCTGGTGAGCCCTGTCACCCGACTTGGACACTCTGGCCCTGCATTACTGACGAGTTGCAAAAGCCGCTTAAAGCTTATGATGAAGCACCACAGGGCCATCTACGCAAGTAGTTTCCCCATGCACGTACCGAAGCTCTAGATAGCCCTGGCATCGCTGGCAGATCACTGCATGGTCTGTCGTTCAAACCGCACGTCTTGACACTCGTCGTTAAAACTTGCCAACCACTTCTGAGAGCCTGGCTGGTTGAATATCCACTTCCATAAATTCTTCATGTTGCGCCTAGGTCATGAAAGCGTGCCGAAGTTCCTCCGTGCATCAGGCTCGGAAGAAGCTCGCATTAAGTGGACGTCCAAAATTGCCGTCAGGGTGCCGGTGGAACTGAGCGTCGTCGAAACTCTTTGGTCTCCTCCGCTCCGTCCAACGCCTCACCAAGGCCACACGAGGCTTCCGTTGCTTCTGCGACAAGGCCACAGCGGCATTCCCTCTCCCACAACCAAAGCCCGCATTGACAAGCATGGAATTTCGCGGCTGTCAATTGCGCACATGCCGTACGAGCCTTCTGAGTCCTCGGAAGATCGCAGCGCCACGATCTGCCAGGTGCAGCTGAATGCGGCGGGTGTGTGAGCAGGGGACTGCCCATTTCAGTCATGGCGAAATTGGAACTCGACCAAACTTGCTTGCCATGGGAGAAACTAGACAGGGTCTATCCACGACTGCGATTAGTGATTATAAGTGGACGCTAAGCACAGCCGTACACCCCAGGCAAGGTGACTTTATCCTCTGCCTTCTCTCGAAGTGCCATACTGACACACAGGTCGTTGCCGGAGTTTTCGCAGCTGAGTCTCCGAATCCCAGGCCTTCTGTCGTTGTGGTAATTGGGGGGGGCGCAGCAGCCACCCACCCACGACCACTCGGAGCCGAACTGCTGACGAAGGTTCTCATGCGAGAGACAGCAACGGGCAGGAGCGACATCGCAGAACGAAAGCAGCATCACATGCTCTGCTAAGTTAAGTGTGGCCCAGCCTCCCATCACGAAGAGAGCACCATCGAGCACCTGGGCTCGAAAAGCATCTGGACGGCAGCGCATTGCTGCAGTGAGCTAAACTTAGACAGTCGGGAACCGGGCGGCTGCTGCTGAGTGGGCCCTGCGCTGGATCAAAGGCGGTGCCTTCGAGTCGGATGTGCGCTCAGTGCGATGATCTTGTCATCCGCTGTGGTAATCGGCTCCGAGACCGGAGCTGTCTGCCAGCAGCGGTCACCGGTTGTTGAGCTGGCGCGGCGGGCAGGACCGTGGTGAAGGGAAGTCGTGGGTCGCAGTGTGTCAGACGCAAGGATTTCACGGTTAATGCTGATTTCAGACTGGAGCCATGCAGCGATGTTGCAATTAAACCCGCCCAAGGAGCAGACTCTTCCTTCGAAGTTTAAGCCAAAGCGCGCCTTGGCAACTTCTCGCAGCTTCGGAGCGTCTCCGTGTCGCTGCAGCCGCCCATCACAAACACCTGGCTGCCAGGGGCTGAATTCGAGCATGGCAGGTTCTGCGCGAGGTTCAATCCGTTGCCTGACTTCCCAGCTGCCGTGCAGCCGCACCCCAGCGAGGAGTAGCAAGGGCCGGCCTGGGTGCTCTTTCTTCAGCGAACAACAACGACTTAAAATCGCATCCGCAGAAGTCGAGACGCAAACCCACTTCTCCAAACATGCATTTCTGCACAGTACCTGAAGTCATCGGCGATGACGCAGCGCCATGCAACACCTTGCGGCTTTACACTTTATATGTGGGCCAACCTGGCAAGCAATCTTGGGCTTGCTTTGCACATCTGCTTGAAAGCGCCCCTGCAGCCGTCCGCATCCTGAAAGGCGCACTCCTCCACCGAAGCAAGGGCTCGGTGTCCATCCTGTCACAGGGAACAGATCGGCTGAACCGAGCGAGGATTGATAGCTGCGCGGATAATCACCCCAGCCGCTGCCCGTGCTGGCCTTACCACCAATGACATACACCACGCCAGCACTGCATACGACGGCAGCATGCCCTGACAGTCAGCATCAATTATTCCAACCATGCAGCTTCGCCAGTGCACTGTGCTTGATTCACAACTTGACATTGCCACAAGACGGTCTGGTCGTCTGCAGTGGCGCCTCGAGGTTCCAGCAAAGACGGCCCGGCTTCCCAAGAGCCGTGCCGTGGGTCAAAGACCTATACAAGTCTCTCCGATGCAAAGTGCGCCCGTCTATGTCGACGCATGCTTCCATGCCTGCTCTCCTGTACATGTTCCGGTGGGCGCATGGTTTCGCACACGCGCCAACAGGCATTCACCTATCTATATATCTCCCAGGTTTGACCATATCGCATGGGGCTTCACCTTCTTGGCAAAAGATAGAGTTGCTCAACAAGCCAGCTGTCGTCGCATTACCTATTGCTTTCGACGACGTCGAACAGTCACTCATTGGATATGAGTGCCTGCAGTAGGTGTTCGTGCAAAGGCGACATCTCGCTCCAGTCTGTGGTGTGCTGAATATCACAATGAAATTCGTTGTGGGAGAGGATGATCCGGGCCCGTTTGACCCTGCCAATGCCTCCGTTGACGACAAGCTGTTGACAGGATTGGTGGAAACGCCGCCCATCACGAGGACCCGCGAGGGAAACCTGACAATGCTGCATACGCGCTCCTACTGTTTGCACAGCATGTAGCCGAAGCACCCTGCGTAAGGGAGGCGAAGCTTTGCAAGCTTGGGATCAACAATGGACAATAACCTATCCCTCACTTGAATGACCCCGCCACCCATCACATCGCATTTAAACGCTATCTGTGAGCTCAATACCAGCTGCAGCATTTCTCTTGTCCTAGTAGTAGTACATAAAGTGTGGTACGTGTGTGTGTATATGGGTGCATATGTATGTGTACCGAAACATGTGTGAATATACATATATGCATACATGCAGATATGCAGGTACGATCAGGCACGTAGATATGTTGATATGTGTATATGTGTTGCGCATGTGTATCTGTATGTGTGTACACGTGTGTTTGTGTGGGCGGAGGTGCATATGTGCGTAAGTTTGTATGTATGCACGTATGTATCTATGTCATCGATGTCTGTACGTTATGTATGTATGTCTGTATGTATGTATGTATGTATGTATGTATGTATGTATGTGTGCGTATGTATGCATGGGTGGGTATATGTATGTAGGTATGTACGTAACACATGTATGTATGTATGTATGTATGTATGTATGTATGTGTGAGTATGCGTATGTGCGTATATGCTTACATGTATGTATATATATATATACATGCATACATAATTAATTAATTAATTAGCTAATTAATTACATAATTAATTACATGATTCATGTACACATATGCATATCCTAAATATACGAAACCACTTGCATATGCCACCATGGAACCACTGGCGGAAGGCAAAGGCTGCATCCTTCACTGCTCGCGACAGCTCCAAGCAGGTGAAGGCGGTGGCCATCGTCGTACGGAAGCCTGCCTCGATTCTGTCGTTCTTGTTGAAAAGCAAAACCCCGCAAGCATCATCATTGAGTTAAGAACCGGTGTAGTAAGATCCGTTTTCGGGATGACACCATACTACCACCACTACGCCGACGACGCCGACTATTATTATTACTACTGCTGCTATTACTACTACTACTACTACTACTACTACTACTACCACTACGACTACTAACACTGCGACTACTAACACTACGACTACTAACACTACTACTACTACTACT